AAAAAAAAAAAAAAGAATAGCTAACACTGAGGTAGCACTTGTGTGGTAGATGTTACTCTTAAGTGTTTTTCCACAGTAGTTCTAATTCATTTAATATTCATAATAGCCTTATGAAGTAAATACTATTATCATCTCCATTTTATAGATGAGGAAATTGAGGGATGAAGACTTCGAATAATTTTCCTACAGTTACAAAACTGGTTAGCAGTGGAGCAGGATTCAGACCCACATAGTTGGTCCCAGAGTCCCTTCTTTTAAACATTATACTATAATTAGATGTATGACTTTGAACAAGCCTCCTTTCTGTAATTTAGGTTCCTAGCTCACAGAAATGATAAATCATAGGGTGTGGATTAAATTATTCTACAAATGTAATCTTACTTTGCACCTGTTAGTAGGAGATACAACTTGTAAGAAATGCATATATTTTTCTCAAATAGCAAAGAAAAAAAGTTTAATGATAATACCCAGTAGAAGTAAATGTGAGATAAAGATTATGGTCTCATGCATTGTGGTTTGGGGCACTCCTTTTTGAGAGTGTTTTTGTAAATGGTATCAAGAGCTATTAAATGAGTTATAGCCTTTCACCAAATAAATAAGCTTTTAATCCTGAGTATGAAAACGCTTTTTTCTGTACATGGAAATGTTTATTTCAGGCTTGTTTTTCAATTGTGAAAAATAGAAGCAAACCAAGGATGTGTTATATTACTTCCACTCAAGAAAATATTATACAACCATTAAAAAATTTTGTGAAGTTATGTTAATATGGAAAAATATTTAAAAATAAAATCATAAGATTTACTTTTTTGCAACTAGCTAGTCATCATGACTAAGAAAATCCATATGGGAAAAGATTGGAAGACCCAGTAGCAAAATCTAGTGTCTAGATCTGGTTTCTAAATATCATTCGCTAAAAGGAACCATGACTTCTAGGAGGAATGGTCAACTCCACAGCTGGAACAGGAAAATTATAAGATGAGCCTGGATACATCAAAATAAAAAGCATCTGCAGAGTAAAGGAAACAACAGAGTGAAAAGGCAGCTTATGGAATGGGAAAAAAGATTTGTAAACCCTCTGCCTACTAAAGGGTTAACGCCTAAAATATATAAGGAACTCCTACAACCTAATAGCAAAAAACCAAATAATCTGATTAAAAAATGAGCAAAGGGCCTGAATAGACATTTCTCCAAAGAAGATACATAAAAGGCACATGAAAAAGCACATGAAAAGGTGCTCAACGTTACTAGTCATTAGGGAAATGCAAATCAAAACTACGGTGAGATAACACTTTACACCTCTTTAGATGGCTATTCTCATTGGTGAGAATGTGGAGAAATTGGAATACTTGTACACTTTTTGCAGAAATGAAAAATGGTGCAGCTGCTATGGAAAACAGTATGACGGTTCCTCAAAAAATTGAAAATAGAGCTGTTGTATGGTCCACAAGTTCTACTCCAGATTTTTTTTCCAAAAGAATTGAAAACATGATCTCAAAGAGATATTTGCACTTCTCTGTTCATTGCAGCATTATTCACATTATTAGTCAGGATGTGGAAGCAATCTAAATGTCTATTGATAGTTAAATGGGTAAAGAAAATATGCTATATACACACAATAGAATATTTTTCAGCCTTAAAAATCCTCCCATGTGCAACATGGATGAACCTTGAGGATATTATGCTAAGTGAAATAAGCCAGTTAAAAGGACAGACAGTGCATTATTCCACTTCCATAAGGGACCTAAGATAGTCACACTCAGAAGCAGAGAGCGGAATGGTAGATGCCAGGGGCTGGTCTGGAGGGAGGGAGAATCGGGGAGTTGCTATCCACTGGGTATAAAGTTTCAGTTATACAAGATAAATAAGTTCTAGAGATCTGCTGTACAATATCATACAAGTAATCACCTGTATAGTATTGTGCACTTAAAAATTTAAGAAAGTAGATTTCGTGTTATGTATTCTTACTACAATGAAAACAACAACAAAAGATGAGCCCAGAGCACCTTGTTGCAGAAAGTAAGGAATTGCTCAAAAAATAATGGGGCCATGTTGAAATGATACAGGAGCTAGTTTGAAGAGACTACCACTGATAGAATCTGGGACAATTGGAGCATCAAAGTATTTTAAATAATGATGATGATGGATCATAACCCATGGCGTAACAGGAATCACTGATCCATACTAACAAACAACAAAGGAAAAGTGCTTACCTACAGTTGAATGCCAACTAACAACTATAGAAGGAAGATGGAAGTTACACAAATCACCGTTTCACAAACAGTTGGGATTAAGGCAATCATCAAGGGATGCTACAACTACTGGGTGAAT